GCTGGGACATCTGAAGAATACTCTACCCTCAGGGGAATTTGGTGTGAAATTTCACTTCATAGTTGTCAAATAGATCAGTCCTGGAAATGAAAAAGTGTCTCTGATGAGGGCATTAGAGAACAAAATTAGAAGACACTCCAGATTACTCATTTCCAAGAATGGCTCTTTGAGAGGAGACTGATTTTCACATTGGAGTCACATGTGAGGGCGGCCTTGATGAGGTCTAGGTAGAGCACCTGCACTTCAGGCTGATGTTGTTGGAGACTGGAGGTGCCACCTGCACTGTTCCCAGTCAGGGTGGTCCACATGTGCCACCAGCCCTTAATACCCATTCCTTTACTGTCTCCCTCCTCATACCCACCCCTCTGATATTTACAACTCTGTCTCACAAACCTTCTCTTTGACAGTGAGTTCCTTCCCTGAAAGTCTTTTAGAAAAGGTTACAGCATACCAGACCCACGTCACTTTTTGAAAACTGCCTTAAGTTAGAGTCCTGGGCCTGCTGAGATTCAGAGGCCATGTTTTAGAACAAAGTATCCTTCCTTCTCTTCACTCCCACTCCCACCATGGCCTGGTAACAATTGTTTGAGTCTGACCCAGCCCCAGACCCTCTTTAGGTAGTTGTGTTGCCTGGCTTAAAAATAAAAACTGGTCCAATTCAACTTCTCTCTCTGAATGTAGAATTGAAAATCCAATTCAAGAGACTGAAACAGCTGTCTGAATAGAGCTGAGAGGGAGGCTAATGAGGCTGAGTGAGATGCCTGAATGAACCTTAATAAATTAAATACATATGCCCAAGGATTTAAATCCTTGGGCATAAGAATGAAGTATGAGTGAGCATAAAAATCCAATCCGTAAGGAAACATAGAGCTAATGTGCCCCAAAAAAGCAGGGACCCATGAGTGTCTACAACTATTCTTAAGGAGAGCTGTCTCAGGTCTGGACACCCGAAATTCCTGTGAGGCCACTCTTCTATTATTCCTGTTCCTGAGTTTCCATACAATTTCCACTTCTCACTAAAATAAACCTACTTCATTTTCAGCATCTTAGATGGATTTCTGTGTTTGTAGAAAAAAATATCTCACTAGAAGTCAATTAGCAATATAGATAGCTGACTAAGGTTGAGTAATTTCTGGATAACTTTCAACAAATTGAGGAAGAGAAACTCTCTTCTCTCCATGGTTCTCTGCAGCCTTGTCTTACAGCAAAGTGATGCAAATCCAGTCGCATATCTTAACAACATATAAGATCCTAGAACAACATAAATCCCAGAAGTCCAGCCTGAGAGTGGGCTCAGAGATAACCTAACATTTGTGGCAGAATTCTTTTTTCAATCTCACAAAGAACCCTTTATATAAAAAATATACAAGCATAGATGCTTTTGTTGACCAACTCAAACCCCTTTCATACTTTTCACCCAAACCAAGAAACCCTGATTCCCCAGAACTCTGTGTAAAAGCAATTAATCTCTCATTTATATGTGAGCAATAAAGGATTTAAGCATTTCTCTATGGCAACATAACCATGAGGCTCTCTCTGAGACCATCTGGAATCTATGGCTCTTCAATACTAACATTCAACATTCCTCTAAGGAGAAAGTATTTTATATTTGTCCTCTGCATATTCTTGTGAAAATTTCCATCAAAGGTTTCCAAATATCTTAATATTGGAACATTCATTTGAGACAAATATTTCATATCACCATATTTTTAACAGAGTGCATGGGAAGTCTTTGCCAAAGCAGAGTAGATTTGGGCATAAGCCCAAAGACTGAACTTTAAAGAGATGTGGAATGTGTTTCAAGAAGTCCTAAGGTGAAAACTTGAAGCTGAATAATGATGAGGTCTCTGTTTGTGTAACTAAAGTTAAGTCTTTCAGACTAAAAAAAAAAAAAGTTACGGGTTATATAAGACATAAGTGATTTAAGTATAGTAGTGTCTCAAATTTGACTTTTTTAAATCTCAAAAGGTTGGTTTCACTGCATATTTTAAACCACATTAACAGCAAAATCCACATAAAGTTGTCCCTTGATCAACATGGGTATGAACTGCGTGGGTCCACCTAAACATGGATTTTCTTCATAAATATATGTATTGAAAAAATTTAGGAGAGTTCCAATAATTTGAAAAAGCTTGCAAACCGCATAATCTAGAAATATCAAAAAAATTAAGAAAAAGTTAGGTATGTCATGAACGCATAAAATATATGTAATGTAGGTACTAGTCCATTTTATTCACTGCCCTAAAATCAACAGTCAGCTATTAGTAGTTATGTTTTGAGGACTCAGAAGTTATAAATGGATTTTCAACTGCATTGGGGGTCAGTGCTCCTGACTCCGGAGTTGTTCAAGGGTCGGCTGCATTCTGAAAGCAAGTAGCTGTGGGTCAGTAAGGAGGATAACATTAGAGACTGTGGCACAGACATCAGTTGCCTTCAGTACCCATTCTATTTACCCTAGTAACACAACCCCAGTTTTATTCTGAGGAGCAATGTGCCCACGTAAGCAACTACATTTCCAAATTCCCTTGCATCTAGATGTGCCTTAAGTTCTGACCAATAAGAGGTAAGCAGATGTTTTGTGTGGTTCTTTCAGGGTGACAGTTTTCAAGGAGGCTCCCTCAGCTAAAGGTGCTTATTTCCTTCCCCCCAACTTTCTGCCATCTTGATGCTTCAGACTGAGATTCTGATGGCTGGTAATCTGCAACCATCTTGGATGATGAGGTGACATTGAGGATGGAAATGAAACAGTAAGATGCAATTGCCATAACAGTTCATGAATGCCTATCCCCAGACTTTACATATAAGAGAAAGAAACTTGTATGTTATTCCACTCTTTTTTTGGTGTTTCATGTATTATAAAATGAAAACAAATCCAATTGATTCAATAGCTTAATTTACAAGCTCTTCTTCCGGGCCTATGGCATAGGAGGTGAGAATAGAAAGCATGATGATTACTTCTGAAAAAAAAATCGTGCATCTGTTCATCCCCTGCCTGACTTGCAGCTCTCATTTTTTACATACAGAAGCTGTTTAAGAACTCTGTCACCATTTGAATAAACAACTACAAAATGTTGTTCTACAAAAATATGACAATTATCTTGAAAATGAGAGATTATATCAAAGTTTACCCCAAAACATTTCTTTCATATTTATGTTGCATATGTAAGGTTTGGTTCATTGTTAAATAGGGGTGAAGTACATTTCCCCTCTTGGACATCTTTCTGAGCATTTCTATCTAGAATAATGTGTATTTTCTGAATAGAAAGCAATACATACATTGCTTTCTTCTGGCAGAAATAAGAGCACATGGAGAGCCCTTTCAAAACTATGTTTTCATAATTGTTATTGTATTATATATATTTGAAAAAAAATAAATACAAGATAACCCTGTCAGTTAATTCTTTTAATTCTAAACATAACTGTCACCTCATGGAGAACATTAAGAATCGTCTCTCCTTTTCCTTAACTATGGAAGACATTTGCATTAAAAGAGGAGGATTGTTATTTCCTTGGAGTTCATCTATGCCTTCTGGTTATTCCCCAGCTACAGTCATGATCCTGTTTGCAACATCATAATCATTTACCCAGCATACAATCAGGTTGTCACTAACAAAGAATTACGACTTTAGGTGGGGGATAAACTGCAGGCACAGATGAACTGGGAGGACATAAAAATTGTTTTCATGAAAATGTGGCTAGTAATAAATAACGAGGGATGAAAATTATGATGAAACATAATATCCTATAAAAACAGATTTGAGGAGGTATAAATAATGTTTTAAAATTTTCTCCCCTCTGAAAGTATGATGTACAGAGTGTTTATAAAGAACCAGTACAGTTGTAATATTTAAAATTCTGAATTTACACATAATAGAAACTAGAAATCTAAGGAACAATATTTCAGAAATATTAATAAAACAAATTTAGATGTTTAACTTTCAACATAAACAGCAGCTTTATACATCATTCAATCTAATCGTCCCGCTCACTGAAAGCCATCTCCACTTTTGATACTGAGTGATTTTTGTGGATCATTTATGTCAACTTGGTCCCATATTCACTAATTGATCCATCCATAAATTTTCAGTATATTCAGTGATTGTAGCATACACTCATGAAAAGGGAGAATAAATATGGCACTTTCCAGTTCACAAAGTGTTTTCTCATTCATTACTGCAATTGATTCTAACAATATTTCTTTGAGCTATCTTTTTCTCCATTTCAGGATGAAAAAAACCAAATAAGTGATCTGCCAGCTGGAAATAGTGTAATCTGATAACCTATGTTCCTCCCATTACATATATCATCCTACCTCCTCTTAGGAAAAGTTAGGGACTGAGATATCTTATCAGTTGTATCCTGCACATTCATTCATTCATTCATTACTAATGACCAGCCAGTCTGAGCTAGGCATATGCAGGGGATTAAGTTTATATTGGTACAAAATTGACATAATCCATGCTTCAATGAAATATTAGTCTAGTAGAGAGCCATAATTTAAATAACACAAATAATAAATTAACATGCAATGAAGGTAAAGGTAGAATGCCAGGAGAAGGAATAAAAGGGACAAAGGGAATTCATGTAAATAGAAATTTGAGAAAATCTCATTGAGAAGGCACATTTTGAGACTTTAGAGATGAGAAATAGCATCTGCCCAAAACCAGGATGAGATAAGCGTTGCTTGAGAGCTTTCCAAGAACTGAATCACAGGGACAAAGACAGCTGTTTTTTTCTGAATCAAGGCATTATTTAAAATATCTGACTGCCCTACTACAGAGGTGGAACCTCTTTGTAACATTCATTTGTTCAAGAAAAGTTTGCTGTATATCTCATATATAAGGCAGTCAGTCTCCAGGGTAGTAAATCTCACCAGCCTGTGTTGTGTGACACACTCAGAGGGCACTAAATGTGCAAGACTTCAGTGAATATCAAACAATGTATTAAAATGACCAAATCTCATTTAAAGCCAATTTGTTCCCACATGTGTATGTCCAAACTGTGAAATTACAGAATTTCATATGATTATTATACTAATAGGCAGGTCTGAATATAAACTACTAAATCCCAATATGTATATAAAATCATGTGATCATTTGTCTAATAGTTGCTGGAGGTACTAACTCTAGTATTTGGAATATGGTTGTGATTCTTCTGGAATATCTGTAACTCAACTGCACAATCAGAACTAGGTACATGCCTTTACAGCGATTTTAAACTTGAGCTTCAAAATGAGAGAACACATTGAAGCTGCTTCAGGCAAAGGCTCTAATCTTTAGTTTTTATTTCCTCATTAGACTAATGGCAAAGGAATTAAACTTTTCTAAATGTGTAGTTATGGGAAGCAAATAAAGGCAGAAGGGGGTCTACTCTGCTTTGCCACAGAGGACCCTTATGTTTAATTTCAATGTGATATTGGAAGTCAAGTGACAAAGTCAATAGTATACTCCTTATCTCAAATTCTGGCCAGAAATGCACTGATAACAATGAATTACCAGATTAATTTTTATTTCAAGATTCTTGTAAAAGGTAAAGGCGTCATATAAAGTCTCTTTCTGAGCTAGATCATAAAGAGACGCAAGCTGTAAGTGAATACACAGAAGAAATAGAATGGTTTTTCTTCCCTAATAAGAATAGGACAACATCTCTTTCCACTTTGTCTGTGAAAAACACTGGAGTTTTACAAATTGCACACAGAGGAACAATTTGCTTCTTCATCAGAAGTGTAAAGGAAGATGCTGTCTCAGAGCAAAGGAGGTAGGGGGAGTCAAAAGACTTGAAACCTGAACAGACATGCGAAAAAGAAAAATAACACCTTTTCCCATCTTACCAGATGAACAGGAAATCCCAATTTTTGCCATAGATACTAAAATTTTATAAAGCTAGCAGCCTCAGGACACGACTTTAGAAGGGCTTTTGACACAAATGATGAAGATTCAAGAGTGACTCACTGTTGTCTCTATGGGGTTAAGATAGAAGATGTGCTAACAGTAAAAATTACTGTGGGGTTACACTCTTAAGACATTTCTTTTGAAAAATTTTATTCCAATAGTATTATTGGCTTTCCTTATTGCCTACTGTTAACTTATGATAGTCACTTTTAATAAAGGGCATTTTTATATTAAAAGACCTAGAAATTGCTATAGGTCCTTTCATCATAATTTTCTATCCTGTCAGTAGATGATGTGTGTGAATTCCAGTACAACTTATTGATGCCATGGAAAATGTGTAAAAGAAATCTAGACTAAACAGCCATTAGTCTCATATAAGGGGTTACTACCTACAATCACACAGAATAAAAATAAGTTTGAACCCTGAGATATGGCTATGCTGTGGTGATGGTGTAAACAACCCGCAGGGATATTTTCTTGAGGTCAACAAATTCCTTAAGGGAAAACTGTCATAAAATGTGACAGAGTGGCAACCATAAGAGTGTTCCCCCATGTCTTTGGCCTTTTCAAGCCCTTAAATTATAAGATCACATAAGACACTGAACATGTACCAACACCAGGATCTAGTACTACCCCAGACTAGCAAAATATTTCCATGGCTATCACAATGGTTTTTCAAACTGACTGTATTTGTTATTAGTCAGGGCTCTTCAGAGCAACAGAACCAACTGTGGTGGCCAGCAAATACAAAATCTACAGGGCAGGGCAGCAGACGGGAGACCCAGGGAAGAACTGATGCTGTAGTTTGAGCCAAAGGCAGGCTTAGTGGGAGGCTGGGGATGGGGAGGAGTCTTTCTGTGTTTGACTAGAACAGAGAATGACAAATTTCATGTACACTTTATTTTGGGTACTCTTTTTCTTTTCTAGCACAACTATTGAAGCTGCCAGAACTTCTGTAAATGTCAAAAACACTAAGAAAACAAAAACCAAATATCTGTAATTATCAAGGTAAAAAATGGATTCTAGGTTCAATGAACGATACTGCCAAGTACAACTTGGCTGGCAAGTATACCCTTGCTGACAATGTAATTATCTAAAATATAATGTAACAATTTAAAATTACTTTAAATATAATCATGTTCTATTCTAGGGTAGGCTCTAGAGACACAGCTATCACTGTTATTTATAAATATTCACCAAATTTTACTAATATGATTTGCGATACAGATTAGTGTTTGACATACAATGTATCATTTGGAAGAAAAAGCCCTTAAACTTAAAATTTCACTAACTTCTATTACTTTGCAGACTTTGAAATCTCAGAGACATTAATAATCAAATTTTCCAGCAGATAATCATTTGCTGGACAGATAATCATTTGGTTACATTTTTTCGGTTGTTTGCTTTATTGTGGGTACAAAATGGAAGAAGTAATGAACGAGTGATCAGGTACTCTTTGACCATGGTAATCGGGTGACTTTTTGCCTGTCAAGAAAATCCTCTTCCTCCTCATCTGTGCTGCTTTCAGAAAGTGTCAGCAAAGACTGAATTTCAGTATCTTTTTCAGAAGAGCTGGAAATACATTAGAAGATCAATACACAATATACAGAACCAAGTTTCAACTCATCATTTATCTTCTGATCAATACTGCATACATTGAAGTCATTGGAGGCAGGCAGACGTGAGGGGTCTGTTTCAGGCTGGAGCCATAATTTGCAATGTGCCCAATATACCAGGCCTCCTTTTAATGAGAAATTCTCATCATTCTCCTTCTCCCAAGAAATAAAGCCACAATGGAACCAAGGAGGAAAGGTTTTATGGTCTCTGGTTGTGTCTTTCTTTGATGATTCAGAAGTCACTTTAGAAACTTGCAGAGCCGCAGGGTCATCATTAAGAGCATTCATCATTATATTGGCTGTTTAATAGAATCCCAATGAATAGACTGTCAGATAAATCACTTCTTTTGTGTACAGTAAATTAGGACTATGTGGATACCTAGTCAAGATATGTCAAAACCAAAATTAATGACAGCAATTATTTAGCTATTTTATTTTGTTGCATTTTATTGTGGAAAGGAACTAGTGGAAGCTCCAGCATGTAGGTGTCTGAGGTTTAGGGAAAGAGGTAGTGTGGGGAAACAGACAGGAGCCTGTATAATTCAGAGTTTTGGTTCAAGTTACCTATCATTTCTGCCAGTGCATGCCACTAAATAATATAAAATACTTCACTCTGTGATAGGTGCAACTGTTTTTGGATTCTTTTTTGTACCTAACACAGGCTAAATCAACAGCTCCATAACTCTGATCTGCGGACCAGAGCAGATCTTTGAAAAAACTTTCACTGGTCTAAGAAGAGAATAGAATATAAGAACAAGGTAATGACTTTTTAATGACATTTTTAATTTTAAAGAACTATACTTTGTTCGGTTAGTATGTTCCCCTTATATTTTTAGTATTAAATATCCTTTGTGGTAAGATGCTTAGAGCATGGGGCAGTTCTATTTTGTTTTTAATGATTTTTTTTAGGAAAAAAAATAGCAACTGTATATTGATCCCTCTTTTTAAAAATTTAAGTGATGTTAAAAATGCAAAAATCTAAGGACCACAGATAAATGATTTTCTCCTTCAGAAAAATAGAGTAATATACTCTTGACCCCTTTACTGCAATATTAGACTTTAAGAAGACTTCAATCAAAGGAATTTACAATTCAAGAGACTTTGCCTCTACATTTATTTTAGTCCTTCTAGAAGGATTCCTCCCCCTTTTTCAAGGAATTCCGGAATGTCAATAGACTGACATGATAGACTACATTTCTGAAGTATTATTAGTATGACCTATGTTCCTTATAAACTGATCACCATCCCTAACTTATGTTCTTACCTTATGTGAGGAAAGAATGAAATGATATAAATTCAAATATTATCATTAACAATCTAGACTTGATTTCAAGAAAGAAACTTCTCAATGTTCTATTCTGAAAACTTTATTTACATTTAGGGAAGATTGTATTAATGCAAAGTATTGAAGTGTATTAAGCTAATTAATACAAGTAAGGCAATTATTTCTTAGTATGAGAAGAAATGCTGAAGGATTATTAAGTTTCAAATGTCTTCTCATTGCACATTGTGTGTCAGAAGAATGAGAAGACATTTGGGACTTCTGTAACAATTCATAAGCCTTTTACTAAATCGTGATAGTAGGTCAGCAAAGGACTGAAACATTTTACAAAGAATAATCATATAAAGTACACACATGAAGACAATCTTACTTCATATAGTAAAGATAACTAGTTGGGACTTGTCAAAAAAATTTTTATGCACCTACCTTTACAAATAAGCTACAGGCTTGACCTACCTCCATTCTTCAACTCCATGAGGGCACTTCACACATGAGGTCTTAAGGAGATCTAGGGTAGTCTGACTTATATTCAGTGAATGGTTGTTGAATGCTGGCAACTCTTCTGAGATTAGGCTGTAAAGTTTTACTGAAGGATCTGAAATATTTTATTTCATGCATTGTCAACACATAAATTCAGGAAACAGATGCACAACCTATGGTGCTGAAAGCAGTACAATGAGGATCAGCACTGATATTTAATCATCTCAATTTTCTAGTTTTTGTGGGTTGGGCAGAGCATGAGGTAAGTTTGATCTGAGCTTCCAAATTAGGGCATAAGTATCAAGTCTCTTTAATTATATTGATTTTCTTTTTTAGAAAATCCCTCAATCTTGTTGCAGCTTTTTTGAGATATAATTGACATGCAACACTGTGTAAGTTTAAGGTGTACAACATGTTGATTTAGAAACACTTACATATTGCAAAATGATTATTACCGTGGTGTTAGGTGACACCTCCATCATACCTCATAATTACTTTCTTTTTTCTGGTGAGAACACTGCAGATCTACTCTCTTAGCAACTTCCAAGTATATGTACTATAATCACCATGGTGTACGTTAGATCCCCAGAGCTTACTCACCTTTCAACTGCAAGTTTGTAATCTTTGACCAACATCTCCCAATTCCCTGCAACCCCACCACCCAGCCCCTGGTAACAACTATTCTGTGTGTTTCTGAGTTCAGCTAGATTCCACATGTGGATGATATTATACAGTATTTGTCTTTTTCTCTGATTATTTCACCTAGCCATATTGATTTTTAAATATATATTATACTTAAGGAATGTGTCAAATGTCCTGAGAACTCACAAAATTCCAAAGAAAACCACATGATCCTCTTTAAAGCTAGGATATTGTACAACTCCACAATTTGCCTGAATGTGAAACTGTTCATCATCTCTTTTCATCTTCTAAGAAATAAAAGCTTTACCCCCACAGAGTTTGAGGCAAGGCAAAGGTTAGTAGTTGGCAAAGTTGCCCTTTCTTTTCCAGCCTCCTTGCTGTGTTTGGGTAGATAATAACCATTTGTGTGTATTAGAGGAGAAGTCTTAAATCTATTCCCTTTTCACGAAGCTGGCCTATGATTCAGCCTAGGTAAGGACAAATAGTGTAAGTCAAAGAGCAAATGGATAAGCAAATACATCTTTATATAAACTACTACAAAGTCAAGTATAGAAATAACTATGATTACTACATTGTCATTGATAAAGTTTTAAGAGCCATCTAACATACACATAAAGTTATACTTGAATGACTTTTAAAACTGTTAAAATTATGGGGTGCTATTCTTCTTTCCACTCTTAAAGTACCAAGTAAATATCCTGCTGATGAAAAGGACCAAACACCAAATTACATGTATTACACACTTGACTGAAGAGATCTTTTCCTTTTCTTGGTGCTTAGTGTTAACTTGAAATTTTTGGGTGGAAGTCTCCTGCTCCCACCATCTCAAAGCAATCGGGACAGCTTTACCTGATCTCATTTAATGTGGGGGCTTAACACAGATTAACTTTGAGAAAAAAACAAAAGATTGATCTGCTAAAATTGCTGTTACTTCCCCACCTGTTGGGAATTAGGTAATTGAGGGCCCACAGGGGATTAGGCCAAACTACATGTATTACACACTTGACTGAAGAGGGTTGTTGTGTGATTGTTGTGTATGTGCTTAGTATTAACTTGAAATTTTGGGGCAAGCAGAGATTCCCCTACTAAAAGTAACTTAGGTTATTCCTGCCACAAGAGAGACCTCAGTGCATTACAACTTAAAGTGTACTTAAGATTACATAGTCCAGTGACATACACGTTATGATATATGGAGAAATTCAATAAGCTTAGGGGCAAGGCTCCTGCTCCCACCCCACCCCCCAAAGCAATCAGGACAGCTTTACCTGATCTCATTTAATTTGGGGGCTCTACAGAGATTACCTTTGAGGAAAAAGCGAAAGGTTCCTCAGCTAAAATTACTGTCCCTTCCCCACCTGTTGGAAATTAGGAAATTGAGAGCCCACAGGGCACTGGTAACTAGTGGAAGTCACACAGCTACATAATATAATAGAGCTCTTTCAGCTTCCCAATAAAATAAATCACTATGTTCCAGAAGTTGATCTATTAGCTCTAGGTTTTTATCTTTTCTGTTTTTCCACAGAGGAAAAGAAGCTGGGTATGCAAGGCACCTGTAATGCCCCAATGAAAGGAAACGTTACCTGTGGGAAACCAGTCCACATTCAGGATTTGGAATTGGTAGAACTATAGTACTAAAACCCAATAGTGATGCTTCAATTCAAAGAATACTACCAGGAAAGGTATTCAACATCTGTTAATCATTTGAGTCCTAACTCAAAAAGCAGAAGCACAGATCTAATTCAGATTGTGTAGATAGAATGGGCCTATTTTGTATTATCATTCATGCTTAAAAACATATTTCAGAATACACTGTGAAGTTAACAGGAGCAAAGGTGACATCACTTGATTTTCAAGGCAGAGAAAAACAAAACTGTTTACAAAAACCCTATTTCAGGTTAGTGGTAAACCTAAAAGGTCAATTGTACAAACACCTAAGTCTCCTGGTTTTTCTAATACAAAGCCAGGAAAGACTAGATTGATGCTTATATTGGAAATGTTACTTTATAACCGTCAAATCAGTTGATTTTTAAGGAATGGACTTAGGTTAAACTTTTTCTGTCCCTGGAGTAAGAATGTATCTTCTATGATCATTGAAGAACCTCTTAAGTGCAATAATAAAGACTGACAAAGGAGGAAAATTGACTAGGTATGAAGTTCTAGGATGTGTTTCTAAAACTTAAGTCATTTAAAACACACATAAAACTATCACACAGGAAAATAAACACATATGAATGAAAGAAATGAAGAAAATCAGAAAGGAAGGACTAAAGAAAGATATTAAAAACTTCAAAGAATGCAAACAAAGCGAATGGGCAGGAACCACCACCACCGTCTAAAGGGCCATAGCTGCAAAGACATCCTGCTCGGAGAGTGTGACGACCAGGGCCCTCACCGTCCCCAGCGCTTCAGCCTGCTCTCCTTGCCCTCCGTATTTCCTCTGTCTGCCGTTGCATTGTGCCTTGCTTGTCCCTCCACACCTTCTTCCCCTTACCTTCACTCTGATATACAGTTTCTCTCTTCAGCAGTCACAGCATAGATGTGAAGTAAAGATTTCATGCTATTTAAGTGACACTGCAGGATGGTTGTAAGATGTGTGCAGAGTTGCCTGGGTTTGTGCCAGGGCTCTCCTGCACCCCTGCGGGGACCGTGCACAGTCAGTATATCACCCGGAGCCAGTGACTGTATCCACAAAAGGGAGATAAAAAAATGTGCCTATCCTAGCTACCTCACAGAGGAGCTATGAAGATCAAATGCAGCAATGTCACATATAAAATAGTGATTATTATTAACCACTGAATAGTTTCATATTCTTTATATCAGAAAAGAAAGGAAAGAACACATTTTTAAAAATGTGTTCTCTTTCACTTGTAGGTAGCACTGAATATTTTTCTGAAACTCAAAGGTTCCTCAAAACGAAAAGATTGCCATTGTAGGCCATCTTAACCCAGATGTCTTACGAGGGTTATCTATTAATTTGTTAACTATAAATCCTGATTAGCCCTTTTACAATTTAATACCTTACTTGATGGTCAACCTATGAACAGAGATTCCAATTACTCAGGAGGCCACCACCTCACTATTTCACTTCACACACAGTATGGCTGCATCTATTAGCATCAGGCAGATTTCTATTCTTTCTTGTTTTAAAAAATTATTTTTGTATCTTTAATTGCTTGGCTCAGTTAACTATCTGTGAACTCATACAAACACAGGATTGACATGGGAATTTAAGGACCAAAAATAGTCTTAAGCCACAAATTAGAATGAGTTTGAAACAAATGAATCATTTTTAACTACTGAAAGATGAATGCTTTAAAGTGCATTTTAGTGATATTTTCTTATGATGCATGTCTTCTGATATTTCCCAAATTTCTTCAGTCTATATTGATATCCAAAAACTGACAAAGTACCTTGGTAAGTAACTTATACTGCTGCATTGAGCTCATTAAGGCAGTTACTATAATGTTATCTACAAAGATACTTGTGGAGTGAATAATAATATGGCATGAACTATAGCTGACTATAATCTTCAAAGAAGCCCATAAGAAAACATAATTTTAGAAAAGAACCAGTTTTTCAGAGTTTTTGACTAAAAATCAGACTAACCAAGAGCACTTTATCTTACAGAAAGCACCATCCACTGGTTCCTTATATAATTTAATAGTTTTTTCAGGACTTACTTTGTCCTCGGCTGTTAACTGTTAGGTATATATTTGTATGTGTGTGTATAGATATAGAAAAATAAATTTTCATAAGTATTGTGTTTAATATATAGAATTGAATTTAATCATTGCACAATTTTATGATAGGACCTATTGTTATGCCCATCCTTCATGCATAGAAGGAGCTAGATGTAATTTGCCCAGGATCATGAAGCTGGTTAAGTGGTGATTTCAAATTTCAAAACCAGAAAGAATCCTGGCCCCAGAGCCTGGCTCTCAACCACCTGGCTTCGCTGCTCCCTCTCTCTTGATTCAGCAGGAAGTTGTGTCTGCAAAGTGTACAAACACATTCCCCACCCACCCCTCCTACTTCTGAAATGGCTCTGAGTGAAAAAAGAAACAGTTCACTTAATGCAGTTATTTTCTCTCTTTTCTTTAGCCAGCTCCTCCTCAGCTCGGCTGTTTTCCATAGAACTTAGAGGAAATGGATGTATCCTAGAGCTAACAGAAAATAAGTCAGGTTTGCTGCTCACAGAAAAGCAGCTTTCAGGGGGATGCAAACACATTTACATTTGTATAGGAGTTAAACTGTACAGCTGTGTCTGTGTGAGACCAAATGTCATGAAGAGTTTCTCCAGACTGAACTATGAGTAGCAAAATGTGGGTGGAATTTTTCTAGCCACTGATGCTAAACAGAATACAAAAGCCCTGAGCAGGATCAATGAATTTTCGAGAAGAGGTCTGATTCCACTACAGAATCTGTCACCTCACTGATTGCTGGGCTGATTCAGCAGATGTGCCATCCCACTCCTTCCTCAACAAGAGGTGAATGTCTCCAAAGCTGTGCATCAGTCAAAGCCAATCTTTCCAGAGAGAAAGTGAGCCATTCCTGGCTCAAGTGTGTATAAGGGACTGCGTTCTTCTCCAAGACAGTCAGAAAAGCCCTGGAGGTTCATAGGCTTTGCAGTGTGTGCTTGCTTTCATATAGGAAAAGTTACGTATTCTAGTGAAAAAATACGTGTATTGATGTATTGGAAAATGAGTGACAGAGAAAAAGTGGATCATGTAAGAGCAAAAGTGATAAAGGAAATGGAAAAGCTGAGTGATTAGAAACAAAAAAGACTACTGTTTGTACTGTATTTCATTTATAAATATGGAACATCAATTCATCAAAATAAGAAACTCTTCATTTTCTTATTAAAAACTATGGTAATCTTCCGAACTGATGCAGTTTAGACCTGACATGTTTCATTTTAGAATTGGCCTTTCATGTGGGAATTACCTCCAAGGAGAATTACCCTTGATATAGAGTGGGGCGAATGAATGATGAGTAAAGATGGATCGTAGACTTTCCTCCCCTACCTCCTAATAAAATGAACAGAAAAAGCAGAAAAATTACAATAAAATCATAAAAAGAATCAAACAAAGAAAGGGATACAAGTTCACATAAAAAGCGTTGATAAGGGGTGAACAAAGAAATAAACAGAAGATTCTGTGAGGTGTTCCAGGGTGCCACTGTCCGTTCCCCTACCTCCCTGCCCTGTATACACACCAAGGGAGTAATAGGAAAGGAGAGTCATGTAAAGTACTGAGAAATCTTACCAGTACCACACCAATTTGGAAAAAAGGAGGTGAAGGGGAAGTAAGGAAAAAACATTTGAAATGTTTTAACTCCCCTAATACTCATCATAAGATTTCAGCAGAGGCAATAAAATTGTAAGCTGTCCAGTGAAGTTTCCATTTAATAAATCCAGAAAAAGACAAGAAAGCTCAGATCCTCCAACAAAAGAGGCTGAGCTCCCCAGTCCTCCATCTATCCTTACTCTTTCTTTGAGCAGGCAGGATACAGAAAATAATGCAATACCCCAACCCATAAATAGTAGCTCCAGAGAGAAGACTGACACATCTCAGTACAGGTGGAGAGCATTTCAGGGAGAGTGTGTCTCACCATATCAGAGAAGACAGGATATGAGCAAAGCTACCCACGATAAGTATGAGTCAGTAAGACACAAATAAATGACAGCAACTGGCTATGCAAACAAAAAAGTAGAATCCAAGAATCCACAGTACATGAGGTATGATTAAATAGCAGACCAATCTAATAGAAACCAGATCAAAACCACAAGCTAATTCTACAAAGAAATAATGAAAATGACATTTTATAAAAGAGTAAGACTAATCCCCAAAATTAAACAACACATCAAACATCAAAAGGGAAAAAATTAAATAGCCACCTGTTCCTGCATTGGCTTCTCTGTACTAGGAAAAAAAAAATGTTATAATGAACATCACTGAGGTCATTCTTAAAAATGAGACATGAACTGTGAAGTAGAGAATAATATTGTAACAATTTCCTGATTTTGACATTGCCCATGGTTATATAAGAGAATGTTCTTATTCATGGCAAATGCACACTGAAGCATTTTTTTTTGGTAAAGGGTCATGATTTTTTAACTTCCTCTCAAAGGGTTAAAAACAAAGCTGTACGTGTGTACACATATGCAAATGGAGTAAAAGACAAAGAGGTAGTGAACTGGGTAAAGTATATACAGAAGTTCCTTATACTGTTCTTGCATTTTTGCAAAGTGAAAAATTACCAAAAAAATCAAAGCAAAACCTTTCAATTATTGTCAGTCAATAGGGAATGGACTGTAGCCAGCTGAAAATTGAAATTCCAACATAGAAGAAGAGCTTGAGATATACTCAAGGGAAAATAAAAATGGACAAAACAGTTGAAGAAGATATAGGTAAATACATTACACAAAGAATATCCAATGAAAACAAAATAGGTTTTTCAGTGGGAGAAAGCCAAATGAAACAGAAAAGCAAATATACAATAGCAGAAAATTCCTTTAAAAATCAGGAGGAAATTATTTTGCAGACATAAAGAAAGCACTGTATTTTAAGTAATGCTGCATTATTTACATTGAAACACAATCCTGGTCCAGTTATGGAATTTCAAAGATCAAGAAGAAAAATTTCTTCAAACACCCAGTCAGGAAAAAAGCTGTCACATGCAAGAGAGATGGTGACATAAAAAATCAAAGAGACCTCAGACTACTTTACAGAAGAATTCAGACCCAGAAAACAATGAATCAGTCAGCCCAGGGCTTAAGGGAAATGTGACCCAAGACAATTACTGTCAGATAACTTGCCATTCAAATATAAAGGTAGCAGGCATTCTCAAACATGGAAGAACTTGAGTAATAAATAGAGTTACAATGAGCTCTACCTGGGAGAAATATATATTTGACAATTAAATTTAACCAAACAAAAGTTAAATGAAAAAACTGTGCTAAAGGACTAACTAGCACCATATTCAGGGATAGAAGACAGTGGAGAAATGTCTGCTAAGTGCAGCGGAAAAATTATGTGAACCACTAAATTACTAGCTAACTTGCCACCAGTCATAAAGGTAAAACAGACGTTCTCAAGAATGCCACAATCAAAACTTCTAGAGATGAATCAAAATAAAAGGTTCAAAATTTGGAAGTCATAGTAAAAATGCTGGTACTGATCATTTAATCTATATGAATTTTCTAAAAGAAAATGAAAATAAAGGGAGACTTTGAAAAAATGAAAAATTAAAACATAACTGTGGGTAAAATTGCAGTATTTCCAGAATCTCTCATCTGGCCTTACTGCATCTCCATATCAATAGCTGATTATAAGAGAGGGTGTAGAGCAAGTGTTCACCTGGACCAGGGGTATTTTTTGGTTTCTTCCAAGCCAGAATGGGGAGAGACATGGGCAAGTGAGAGTAGACAAACGGAGTCAGGATTCTTCTAAGCAATAGACGGGTTTCTCCCATTTTATTTTTCCCTTTGACTGATTTTGGTTTCAAAGATTATTTGCTCCAGGCTGGGAACACATTTTCCCCCCAGAGTTACAATAACTATAACAGGATTACTCAATACTATCTAATCACATGTGGTTCCACAAAAAACAAAGAACCAACAAATGAGTCCTCATCTTTTATTACATGGTTTTAATCATTACTGACTAAAACTATATCATATAGCTAGAAATGGCTTCAATGGCTTACTGTTTCTTTTTACCCTTTTCCTTAATTTTTAAAGAGATGTTTGTAAAAATTACAGGGCAGACCATATAAAATTGCCAATATTTCACTGTTTTTTGTCTACATAACTCATTTCATATAGTTCAACTTATTTTTGTGGTGAAAAAATACTTATCTGAACTGTACAATTTCCTTAACCTTATTTCAATTTTTCTTTCATTAAATTGGGTAAACAAATGTGTAATTAAAAAGATATTAAGCAGAGCATATATCTATTTTTCATAAAATTCTTACCATCTTTCAATCTATTCATCCTTCTAAATATATGTTCTTACATGTATACTTATGATAAAAACATGTTTAAAATGATGCTCATCAAATGTTAATAAATGATTGTTTTCAGAGTGGTAAGATTTGGGCTTCCTTTTTTGTATTTATCATATTGTTTGAATTTGCCAAAACCAAGATGTATTCTTTTTAGGAAAATAGCAAAGTCATTATTCTAAGGTGAATATGGAGGATATCACTAAAAAGCAAATAAGCAAACAAACAAGGGAGGAGCATGAGTGTTATACATGGTCCAGAGACCAGTATATGATGGCCTGCCTGTGGGATCTGCAGCAGTGTTCCACCAAACTGTGTGAACAACTTTCTGATGAAAATTAAGAGGGTTACTTCCCCTGATGTTATGAATCAGACCTTTGTTATGTTGAAGAATATGGTTATGGTTTGCTAGACTGTATCCACTGAGGTTTAGGAAATAGAATGCACAAGTAAAATTTCTCCTTAAACTGGTCTGCTCACTAGCATCATTGACATCAACTGGGTACCCATTAGATGTACAAAATCTGGACCCCACCCAGACTCAACTGAATCAGATCCTGCATTTAAAAATTCCCTAGGAGGTTTGTATATACACTGAAGATTAGGAAATACCACTTTAAAAGATCTAATTCTCCAACAGGGGTATTGGGCAGTGACTTTCATAAAGCTATAGAGATTAGTAATTCAGTGGGTTTGTAGAAAGGAGAAAAATAAATTCTTTCTGCCCACATAAAGTTCCTTATGCCATGATTTAACTGTGTGTTATGTAGGCTAACAGGAGTATCCCTGGTGTGGCTGGGCAGCCACACATCTTATAACATTTTCAGGGTGACAGCAGAGGATATCCAAGAAACAGAAACAAAGGTTGGTGACTAAACGAGGGAAAGGGAAAGGCTTGTTTTCTTGCAGCATGATAAAAAGAATTAGGCAGAAAGCACATGGAACATCGTCTAGAGTGAAAAAAAAAATAGCATTACCTGCAAGATTTTTCAGCACATTTAATTCTTTTTCCAAACTGTCTAATGTTTGTTGATCAGCAGTGCCATCTAAGAAGGGTTCATTGTAGTCAGTAGTATCAATATATTCAATTTCCGAAATTTCAGAAGCAGCTCTAGATAATGATCGAGCAACAGCACTTCTTGATCGAGGATGAGAGGAAGTAAGGCAGCTGGGGCTTCTTTCAGCAGTGTTGGAAAGTGGTAAATTTGCTGTTGAAGGTCTCTGTGATGTCTGGCCTAAAATGAAAAATGAAAAATAATTTGAGCCAACTGCTTTTAGAATTCTGAATGAATACTTAAAAATATAAAATAGTCCCCTGAATTTAGAGCAGTTAATTTCATGCATCAGAGTTTATGTGAAAATGAAAAAATGAACTTTAGAATACTATCCATTTTGGCTTACCACAATTTGTTGATCCCAAATTACTCTCCCTCTGCCATACAAAATACTTCTGTGTTATTTCCCCTATTTTTTTACTTTCAGAAAAAGACAAGCTAATTTTAATATTAGCTAAAGCAAATCATCTGTAAACCAAGTCAATTCCAGAACAATTCGACACCCAGTCTTAAAATCTATCCCATAGCCAACCACTGTGCCATTTCTTAAATTCTTGTACAATACCATACTGTGCCTTGTGAGAGAACAAAACCATGGGATCTGTGAATTTTACCTGATAACATGTAACACTCTTCTATTAAAACAAATATGGAGACAAAAAAAGGCTAGTATGCAAAATCTTGTAGAAAAACAGAAGCTTTGAAGAAATTGAGATAACATTCCAAATTTACCTAAATATGAGTTTATCCTCTGCTGCTTTATAGAGTATTTTAGTGGAAAAGTTCCATAAACATAAATCAAGTCAGTTTATCACTTTACTCCACAAGCACAGTCGTCATTTTGTCTTGCCCTATTTCAAAGGTTGACTGAGTTGGTTTCTTGAACATGTGTGTTACTTTTGCAGTAGAAAAAAGAAATCCCTTCAAATCTTATACTAACACAACATAACTATACATATCATTTACTATTGCTTACAAGGTTCTTAGCCAAGGGAATATTCGAGGTACAAACTTAGAAATCCGTAGTGCAGGTATATTTTTCAATGCACTGAATCATAGTTCTGATTTAGATAAATATATTTATAGCAAATATAAATAATTTATATTACAAGTTAACCTTGCATAATCTTCACACAACTTGGTTTTATGTAAAATATTGGATTATTTAAAGAGGAGCTATTGCTATTATCAGAAAAATCACATTTGACTGAACATATACCATATAACATTATCCCATTATGCCCACTCTATAGACTCAAATGATAATGTAAAATTCAGAAGAGTGGCTACAGGCAGTTATCATATGTTGAACATTTAATGACTATTGAGTCTGCCTTTTTTTAACTTAAAAATTGACTTTGAATGTAGGTAGCACCCTAAGAAGAATCCTAATGCAGCATGTAATTATTTAAGCAATTAAAACTAAGGTAATTCCCAAAGGGCAGCAATTTTAATGAACATTTCAGAAATCAATTTTAAAAACACTTTTTGTTGGAACAAAATTATGAATAAATTAATATGCTGACCTTTTTGTGTCTATTTGTGCTCAGAGACAATTCTGAAGAAAACTAATTAACAAAAATGTGCCTATGTTTTAAGAAAAAATGTAAATATCCCTAAGAATTATTTTAATGGATAGAATTCGGGAATGATTTTCCCTTTTACCTATAATATGCAAAGAATCAATATTTTGTTGATAGTCATCCAGAAAACAAACTTGCCATTCTTACATAAAGAATCAGTAGTAAAAACAGCAATGGCAAAAGCAGAGGTGAGTGAGGATAACAGTAATTCAACTATATAAATGGAAACATCTAGATCTATGGAGAAAACCATATCTTCCTACTTGAATTGTGCTATGTCCCAGTCAAGTAAAATTTAAGGGAACTTAAATCTCTTATTAAAGTAAAACAAATAGATAATGTTATTAGGAAGAACTGGAGTTCTGCCAACACAGACAAATATGAGGTAACAAAAAACATAATGTAGATGCCCTTCAGAAAATTCAAGGGAGTACAAACACTGGCTGAACTCCTGTAATAACATCTGGTTGCCACACTATTAGAGGTTAATTGATCCCAACTGAGAAAAAAACAGTAAACCAGGGGTGGGTCAGACTTATGCTTAACACAGAGCAAAAGACGGACCATCTTTCTTTCTGAAAATATGTTCAAAGTGTAATTTCAAGTGCCAAAAACACAGAAAGAGACAGAAGACATTTTAATTTGGTCCTTTGTTTCATTTATTTATTTTGTTCATTTAGGTGAGTATGTCATTCTGTTTCCTATGTAAGCTTATTAATGTTATTGCTAGCCTTAAGAGTCAAGAAATAGTTAAGACTGACAATAATGAAAAATGCCATGATTGAAGGGATCATTCCATAGTTTTTTTTTAAATGTCTAGTTTGCTGATTCTAAATAAAAGAAATTTCTTTTGGAGTAACTTGTGCCATCACTGGCAATGTAATCTTAGGGAATCACAGATTAACACTAATCACAGTTATATCACAAAAGAAATTGCCCTTGATATTAGCTTATGAATAGGTGATGTAGGATTACTAATGAGACCATGCCAAATATGGGAAGGTGAGATAGAAAGGTGCTTTGGGCTATATTAACAGCATAAGAATACTGATAAGTATATGAAAAATATGAACCACTTGCTGAGTAGTATTCAATATAATTCTTATTATTGCTATTCTAAATTTAAAGATTAGAATTGGGTGAAACAAGCAGAGCAACATGCTTTTGCATAGTGTTTCAGTAATAAATGACATTCCGATCAAAGGACCCAATATTTTATTCCTGAGTAAAGGCTGAAAAACATTGTCTTTTAGAAACAAGTGTTGGCGAAAGTAGAGAAAGAGGAACCTCCTACACTGTTGGTGGAAATGTAAAGTGGTACAGGAACGATGGAAAGCAGTATGGAGTTTCCTCAAAAAACTTAGAATGGAAATACCATTCCACCCAGTAACTGCACTTCTAGGAATTTATCCAAAGGAAACAAAATCCCTGATTTGAAAAGACATACACACCCCTATGTTAGTTACTTCATTTTTTACAATACCCAAGCTATGAAAGCAACTAAAGTGTCTATCAACAGATGAATAGATAAAGATGTGGTACATATACACAATGGAATATTATTTAGCCATAAAAAATAAAGAAATCCTGTCAGTTGCAACATCGATAGACCTAGAAGGTATTACGCTAAATGAAATAGGCCAGGCAGAGAAAGACAAATACCCTATGATTTCACTTATTTGTACCCTATGATTTCACTTATGAAACAAAACCTAACAAAATGAACAAAACAGCAGTAGATTTGGACACATTGAGAAGTGACTGATGGTTACCATGCGGGAGAGGTTGGGATGGGTGGGTGGAAAGGGTGAGGGGGATAAACGGGCACAAAATTTCTCAATCATAATATAAGTCGGTCTTGGGGATGAAAGTGTAGCATGGAGAATATAGCCAATGGTTCTGCAACATCTTTCTGTTGACAGATAGTAACCACACTAGTTGGAGTGAGGATTTAATAATATGTGTAGCTGTTGAACCACTGTGTTCTGAACTTGAAACCAATATAATATTGTGTATCAACTACACTCCAATAAAAGAAAACATAAAATTACATTGTTGTCTTTCAATATTTTCCTCCACTGTGCAATTTGGATAATTTATATATAAAAAATAAGGATGTATTTCTAAGGGTCCTTGAAACCTATATGGACATTTTATTTAGCAGCATGAATTAGTATAAAGAATGCTAAAGTGGAAAGTAAGAAACTTGTCTGTGTAGTTGCATTAAATAGAAATCAACCTGTGACCTAAGACATGAAAATCATATTTCACCTGTAAAATTAAGGAATTGGACAGAATGATGCCTTAAATCCCCTCCAACTCTGAGAACCTATGCACTAATATTCAATTCAATTCAATTGTAAAATAATTTGTGAAATACTAAAATTGCCAGAAATTGTGTCAGTATCAGGATATCCAAAAGTGAATGAGACATTGCTCCCACCCTCAAATTGCACTCCAAACTAACACACAGTCCAGCTATCCCACTTCATTATTCAGAAATACATCCTAAGCATTGACAATGTGCCAGGCCATGTTCCATCTCTGAGGATGCACCAATGAACAGGACAGGCTAGGTCCTTGCCTTCTTTCCAATCAAGGGTAGGGTGAGCAGAAAATAAACAAGTAAACAAAATAATTTCAGCTTGAGATAGGTTCTATGAAAAAAATTTTTTAAATAAATGAGATTCAGGATTTAGGAGACTCATTGAATAAGATGGTTTCAGAAGGCTTCTCTAAGGAGGCAGCATTGGATAATAAGAAAGAGCCAATCATATGAAAAAGGGTATGAAGATGGAGAGAAAGGTTGCAGAACATTGTAGATGGGAGGGAAGAATAAATTCTAAAGCTAAGAAGTATGTAAAAGTGTGGCCTGAGAAAAGAAAGTCAATGTAGTTGCAATGTGGGAGAAGTTAGGAAAGATGGGTGGTACCAATTCAGGTGTAATGTATGGTAAGGAATATAATTTTTTTCTATCCTCCATAGGAAGCTATGGAATATTTTTAAGGAGATTGACAAGATATAATTTATGGTTTAAGTTTACAGAAAATATGATGCACTTCCTATCAACTATGAACAATTTTATGACTATAAATATAAACAATTCACTCACTGACTATAAACAGTAGAACTTGATGGACATTAATCATGCCAACTATTTTGGGGAGAGGCAAAAGTGAAAATGAGAGAAAAGTGAGAGATGATGGACAAATGTCTGGGCTCAGCTCGAGCAATAAACATAGAAATGGTTAGATTTGGGATCAATTTTAGAGCAGCAATCAGCAAAATCTAGAGATGAATAGGATGTGGTCAATAAGAGAGAGTCAAGATGACTCCCAGGTTTCTTATTTATCAGTGTTTGTATGCTTGAGCCATATAGACTATAACTCCATGGGAAAATATGTTCCCAGCCCAGGGCAAATAACCTTTGAAGCCACAATCAGTGAGAGGAAGAAATAAAGTGGGAGAAACACATTTATTGTTTACAAGCAGTCATCTACTTCCGCTCGCCCGTGTTTCCTGTGACACAGCTGCAGAAGGATGCCACCACACCTCTCCTGTGCCATACACCCTTGCGCCAGCTCCCCTGTAATCAGCTATTTATATGGAGGTGGACACTTCTCTCCACCCCTTGAAAACACCTACTGATAAGGAGATGCACTAAGGCCAGGTGAGAAAATCTGGAAATACTGCAATTTTACCCTCACAGAGACAGAGGTAGGGAGAAACAATAGACTTACTGCTAAACATGTTTATTTCATAGTTACCATGTTTTTACATTTATGGACTCAAAAATCTTACTGAAATAGATAATCCTTTATTACTCCTTTATATACTGGCATCAATTCAGAATATAAGGTTTCTGCAACTTGTAGCATAGGCAGAGAAACTTCATTTTTATTTTAGGCCACTATCTCTGTCCCTAAGTCATTTCCCTCTGCTCCTGAGTAAATCTGAGTAGGATTTGGCTGAAATGTCATCTAGTATCTAACACCTTGCATATCTACATTCTTTAATGACAAAAAGAATTTTTTTGAATTTTTAAAATTGTAATTAATTAAAAATTATTTTAACATCTCCATTCTTAAAAAACTGAAAATGTACCTACATCTATTTTAAGTAATCACATGTACTTTTAATATTTAACTACCAATCTGCAAGCTATGTTACTAACATTCCTTTTATAAAATGTGTATGTGATATAATTTATGTGTTTACATATCTATATAGCAAGTTTTCTCAAGGTATGATTTTTGAATATCTAATCAGCATAAAATGGAGTTGTTGATAAAATAAATGCAAGTTCCTAGACCTTATCTCAGCCTTAATGAATCAGAATCTCTAAGAGTGAGATCAAGAAATCTACATTATAATAAGTTTCCCAGTTGATTATGTACACACTGACTTTTGATAACCTATGCTTTATCTCTAAGCTCTCCAACTACAGGTTCAGGGCTTATTTTGTATCACCAGTGTCTGGCAATGCCTGGCCTAAATAAAGTAGTTGCTCCTACAAATGCTTTCTATAGTAAATTATTGATTTCAACTGATTACTCCAAATTGGTACCTAAAGACATTTGGCTACTTATTTATAAAGATTTATTTTTAGTAACAAAGTTCTCACAGTATGCATGTTAATTTGTTTTCATCAGTGTACAGTGACTTAAAATGGTTCTTTTGACAGCTTCAGAAGGAAGCAACCATAATACTTAAAGCTGCTCTGAACTTTGATGTGAGAATAGGTACCTAACTGTGATAAGCAGAGAAATAAACATGAGTAGGTGGAGGGAGAATAAAGACAGTATAGTTCACTAAAAAGGACTCAAAAGAGTTAACCAGATAAAACCAGAGAGCCAGAAAGGACTCACAGAGTGAATGAGTTAATTAGTTGAAGTTCCAAAGGACAGAAGCAACTTGGAATATATACATAATCTTCAGATAAAGAAAAGCATCTGAGTGCAGTCCATGTCTTCGTTGTGTCAACTAGATTATGCCTTTATAAAATTTACTTAGACTGCTAAAAAGGCCAGCTTACTCTTTAATTTAACTTATATGCCTTTTTTTTTCTCTTTTTCCTGCTCCTTAATCAAGTAACTTTGTAACCAGGGCAGGAGACAGACCTCTGAAATGTAAATAAACCAACGTGGACAAAGAATACTGGGATCCAGACCAACACAGTCATCTGAATAATCTTATTCTCAAAACAAAACTCCAAAGAAATTATAAACTACCGGTACACATTATGCCATATGCTGATTCCTACCCAAAAAGCCCTATAAAATGCCAGACCCTAAACCTATAGAGGTGCCTCTTCTCTGAGGTCCCCACACTTCCCTTTTTTTGAGTGTGCATATTTTTGCCTTAAATAGACTTCTCACTGCTCAACTTACTATGTTTTGTCTCTGTGCTCTTCCAGTGGGAAATGTCTCTTTACTTTGCTATTTCATTCTATCTCCCAGACTTAAGTACAAATCTTCACTCTGTCTCTGCTCTACCTCAGATAAGTAGGGAGGGGCTGCTGAGAGTTCTGATTTGGGCTTGCAAGCTCTTGTCACTGGGTGACCTAGACGCAACTGTACGATCTGCTCCTTAGTAGCCTGCCTGAAAATCTCCTTTCTTCACCTTTGGGAAGTTCTCAGAACATAATCTCACCCCATCCAGTGCTCTGTAGCTCCCCCAAATTCTGGGGTGGTAGGGACTCAGTTACCGTGCTGTGCAGATCCAAGGAGACACTGGACACCAGGTGAGGCTGGCTTTAGGTGCTGGCAGGGGATGTGCCTTATGCTGAGCAGGAGTTCAATGAACTTCCTTTTCTCTCTGTTCTTCCTTATTCTCTGCAACCTGCAAGGCAGCTGTGATTCCCTGCCATTCCTTCCTTACCTTGAACTCTGACTTCACTGGGTCTCCAAACAGAATTCCTGCCCAACAACTACAGTACCAAAAAACAGTTATCACAAAAGGATGGCTTTTCTCTAAGAAAACTTTTAAACCAGACAGATTCTCAATATAAATGTATATGGAATGGATCTGAGCTAGCTGAGAAGTTTTACTCATAGGATTTAGGGTGAGAGAGACATATTAATTGCACATATGTGAACAAATCATATGTAACTAAATTTCTAGCTTGAAGACAACCCTCAGATAAAGGCAATTAGCCACCTTTGTAAAGTGCTCTTCCTAAACTGTGAACTCATGAAGATCATGGAACAGGACTTATGTATCCCTTTTCCTCCTGGTCCCAGAACAGTGTCAACATACTCAACACATGTGTGTTAAACTCTCTTAATTCATCAGTCATTTACTGAAACTCCATAAGAAATCTAGCATAAAAAAAACCTACCTTAGCACTTATTACTGGATGAAAAGAATGACCTAATAACACTACTGATTTAAATGATGTCAAAATTGTCTGCATATACTCACTAGGAAAATATTGCAATGAGAATTCAACATATCAAAAAAGTTATAGACAATATTATAATCATTTGGTTAGAGAATGGAGTTAATGAACTAAAGTCAAGATTCCAAGGTTAACATATTCAGCATTTGATTTAGAACAGAGACATCTTAACCACAATTATAATCAGCATCTTAACATAAACTATTCATTCCACAAATGGCTATATCTGATCATAATATGAACCAAGAGGAAGAGCATGTAAAATTTCATATAAATACACTGTTTTCTGAGTGTAATGAAACCGAATATGTATTTTATAAAGATTGTTCAAAATACATACCATATCCTGAGCTACATTTTAAAATATTATTCCCTAATTCACTGGCAGAGAATATAACAAAGACTGTATGTAACTTATGTTTTTTGAGATGAACGGCTACTCCTGTTTTTTTGGTTTTTGGAAGAAAAGTCCAGGACAGTTAGTTAAAATGAGTAACTTCAAATTATGAAACCACAAAACCTAATTTTCAGGTGCCTAGTAAACTACTAAGAGGCAAATTAATAAACAAAGTGAGTCTTCAATGTCACAGAGGTCTTCCAGCCAATCTTACCTATCTTCTGCTGTGTTCTACTTGATGATGGAGTCGGGGCACTCTGCACAGCACCCATGGCAACTGCATTATCAGCACTTGTACTTACACTATGGTCTGGGATCCATTCTCTGTTTCCTGAAATGGAAAATGGTAAAATAATAAAAGTTTTAAAAAGGAGAGAAATCTATATTGTTCCTTTATTGGATTTATTGCCTTTCTGGATAATATTTAGCTAAATAAGGAACATTTGTAACAATAGGGTATATATTATGACAGACAAAAATCTCATAATTACATAATAAAACCATTAGACTTCCTCAACTTAATAAAAAACAAATTCTAAATTGAAAAGATATTACACACACATTTGAATAGAGACAAATATTTGTTAAAATATAAACAATATAACAAACTCTAATAGTTTGTACGTGAATAAAGACACTTGAATAGATAGGAAATGTAAGAATACAGGTGACACCAAGACCTAGCTAGCTTTCAAAAGTAAATTACAGATATGTCTTAGAAACCTCATAGATACTGAGCCTTTGAGATTGTTTTTAAAATGGCATATAAGAATCATCATACAATACTTAACAGTGATTCAAAGAATTTCTATTTTACGATTTAGTAAGCACTACATTTCTAAATTCTAAAAATAATTTCTCCTCAGTCTAATTATAGTCATGTTGTCTCACATTCTGAGAGTAGCCTTAAATATAAGTATGTGGCAACTCACTCAGGGTTAATAATTTCAGCTAGAGAAGAAGGGAATGATTTTATTTGTTGAACAGAATTGGCCAGTATATCCTTCGATGAGGATGGACTGCTTTAAAAATGTGTGAGGAAATTGTTAGGTTGGTCCACAAGTAATCTGATTTCATGTCTGAATTTACCTGCAGTTGTAATCCTAGTACTGGAATAGCTGCATTCTAAGCTATGAGAAGGAAGTAACTTGAGTCTTTCATTGTTATCAAAAACAAAGAATCTTTCAAGTCCTTGATATTGTTCAGTTATAGGCTTACTTCTGAGGGCTATTTCTTGTAGCAACTAGGAAACAAAATATTCAACAAAATTAGTTTATTGTATTCCATCAACACAAAGCAGCACATTCATTCATTGAGCACCTACTATGGCATGGATTCTGCCCTCTTCAAGTGAGGTTCTAGTTGTGGAGACAATACACAACATTTATATACAGTTCTGTATATATTTACATACAGTTCGGAAAAATGTATAAACCACAACTATGGTAATTTTCTAAAAACTACCATCAATCCAAGGACAGAAGTCCATGAAACAAAATGAAGTTTTCCTTTCTCCTTTCTTTATTTTCTTCCATCAGTATTTTACACATAAATTACTTTGAAAAACAGAATCTCTCTCAGATGCTGTACTTTTGAACTAATGCCTTTGTTTATACATTAAATAATTCCAATGATAAAAGTAAAATACCAACAGGAATAAGTCTGATCTGACCATAATCACAGACAAAAATCCAACTTAACAAAATACATATTGGGAAGCAAAATACAGGTATGAAACTATAAAGAAATGAGCTAAGTAATTTGGCTTATACAGCTAGAAACTAGCAGACCTAAGTATTGAAGACGGATGTGGCTGACTTGAAGCCTAGGCTAATTCTACCATGCTACAAATTCATTTTATGATATGCTTTCATCTAGGGAAGAATATAAATAACATTAAAATATACATGAGTCTCATAAGAAATAGATTAGAAATTTAGAAATGAGAGTTCTAGATGGGCTTAAAATATAATCAGAGGGGGTATAGTATTTAACATTTCCCTAATGGGTTTAATTAATGCCCAAATGCAGTCTGTTTCAAGAGGGGAAAGAATACAAAGAAAATCATTATAACTATTCAAATTTATAAATCATATGATAAAATACTACAAAAAAAGCTCGTTAACCAATAAAGCATCTCCTTCAAAGCTTAGTCCAAGTCTCCTCTACTCATGACATCTTCACTGGCTCTCCCAGACCCTGATCACTGATTTACAGAACCACTTCAACTTGAGTGGAGCTTTTATTTGGATTAGACAATTACAAATCTGGAAGGGTGTTTTAAAGCACTGGTTGACACATAAGAAGAATGTGAGTGGGTTAATTTGTTTATCTGTTTTTTGCCTAAACTCACAAAGTTAACTAATGATAGTTTCAGAACCAGAACCAACAGCCCCTGAGTCATCCATGGTCTTCCCAGCTCCTGCCCCTACCTCACTGCGGCTGCTATACAATTTAGTACTTGATTTCATAGGCACTTCCACCTTTGTGAAGAACTCAGTTTCTGAACACTGTAGTGGAAAATGAATTGTCTTACACATAAACTGGAAGTCAAATAATTTCACTGCTAAAAATTGCCCCTACTTCCCACTCTTGATCTTTTTCTACTGGAAAACAACAGATTCCTAAGCACTTTCTGTTCAGGGAATGGATTCACCTAGGGCAGGAAGGGAATAAAAACAGTTTATGTCTAGTCATCAGAGATGAAAAGAAAGTAGATTCTACCCCTATGTATAAGTACTATGTTCTATAATCACTTACCACTTATATTTTAGTACAGTAGTATAAAGGATTTAAATATGATGTAGCTTTCAACATTTCTATTTAATTGTGAAATAAAGATGAAGAGAGGTACAACAAATAATATAACTTGATCATACAACGTAATATTGATGATTTAAAAGATTTGTTTCAGACATGTATATAATGTATATATATATATATATATATATATATAATAGTCTTTATAAATAGTTAACTGTATTACTGAAGTTGACATAATCTATTCCAATGCATGTTTTTAACTATTACTATATCTGAGTGTATCACAAAAAATTTACAATTTGTCTTAAATGTTTCCAAAAATGCAATCAGACTTAAGCTTTATGTATCCTTTTACATTTAAATTTTAATATTTTTAGATGTATCCATGTTAATAAAAGTAGTTCTATTTCATTCATTTTAACTGCTTCATTGCTTTTCATTATATGAATTAACACAGACTATATTCTGTGAATTTTTGCCAAATGCCTCTTGGTAGTTTATAGAAGATAATTTCTCCCCCTAGGACAAAGGACAGGCAGGCTTATGCCCATTATAAAAGAACCGGGTTCCATGTGCTCAGGATCCCTCCCCTATATATAGCACAGCACATTGCACATGCATGGGCTAACCTAGCGCTCTCCACGAGGCCTTGTGGTAACTGGAAAATTAAGTTTTTGGCTCTTCCATCTGCAGAAATTCATTCTACTATCACTGTTTTCTTCACTGGTATAGGGAGCAGAAAAGCTCATCGGCAGTGCAGCTTTATGTTTGGGAATCTATTATGGGCTAAACTGTTGGAATATCTTTATAGAAGGGATTGGGATTTATTTTTGCCAGATACATTAAAGTATCAATAGACATGGATTAACATTAGTGTTTGCTTCTTGGCCTAGAGATTCCAAGCAAGAAATAAATATTAAAACTCTAAACCTATGCTTAATGAAAGCCCAAGATTTCCATGTATCAGGAAGATAGTTTATTGACCTGGCCCAGATCCCACAAAGAAATCAGTTTCATTTCATCTTGTTGCAACTGTATGTCTCCTAGTATATTCCTTTAGTCACTGAGCAGACTTCTGTGGATCTAAGGTTTCTGCAGAGGTCTCTGTTCCAATTTTGCATTTCAAAAAGGAAAAAGACCTGTTACAAAGGTCCCTCAAGCAGAAATAGCAGCTCATACTCTTTTAGTCCCCCTTTCAATTTAGGCGCCATGGAGATTGATTTCAAATGAACTAAAAGGGTTGTCACATGCTTTACTTGCCTAATTTCCAAAGAACTTAACATTTGACTTGCCTAGTTTCTAAAGGATTTATTGTTAATAATCATGATTATTTAAGATTTTTAGTATATAGAACAAAGATTCAAATATAAGTCTAAAATTTGGCAATAATGCAATAATGAACTACTTTACCTTTTTTTCCTCTAAGAAGAAACAGAAACCATACTCTTATTTCTTCATTAGACATGTTCTTGAAGGAATTACCTTTAAAACCTTGTATTCACATTAAGCCACAGAAACTGATTTTACCTACATATCAGCATTTATTTCATTTTAAACAGCACCTATAGAGTAGAAAGCTACAAAGGATTTATTATACTAAGTTATTCATATTAATGAATTTCATGTATAAAAGTAACAGCACTCTAACTGTGGTTCATGAGGTGGGCCTTAAAGTACTTTTTGTCAAGAAAACCATTTGTTATTATGGCATTTACCATATTAGAATTTGTCCTATAAGTCATTAACATTCTTTCACTTAAAAGTCAACTACCTCATGATAACATAAGGGACTACATTTTAACTTCTAAAGGAAGTAACATTTAAGAATATGTTGTGTCAATATAAAATTTTCTTATAACGTTCCTTATAAAATGTTTAATGTATTAAACATTAGAGATTTACCTGTGGTGACTCTATAGTTTTAGAATCTTCAAAGTTTGCCCTTTCGTGCAGATCATTAAATCCCAAGGATTCTTTGGTATCTTGAGAGATGTTCTCCTCAAGGGAAAGTTTTTCTAAGTCTATACTTGGCAAAGAATCATTGTTCTCAAGTGTTATGTAGGAATCATTGCACGTCTGATTACTTTCCATACCTATATTTTTCTCTTTGAAATTTCTTTCAGAAAAGCTGCTTTTCCCTAATTTTTCAATGGCTGGAAAATAAACATCAGGATCCACAATGTTGTCCGATTTTGTATTTGAAGTTCCTGCTGTTGAAAACACACATTTACAAAAGTTAAATAAATTTAAACAAGTATATTGATTAAAATATTCATAAACCAAGAGTTCTGTGGCATGAACTGTTACCAGTAAACACTATTTATTAACATTTCTTTATTGAGTTCTTAGTGTTAAAATATTTTCACTCTGTGTTCATAAATGATAATCATAATTTACTTGTACATTCAAACTTCAAATTGAGTTAGACTAATGGAAGGAAAAAATATTTTATTTTGTAACGAAAATATTTAAACTGATGAGAATTTTTATTTCAGCCTGTGGTTCAATTTCCACTTTCCTATCTACTGGACTCCCGCTCACGTTTTACAATGGCAATTTAAGAGAAATAATGCAGAGGGAACCTTATTTCCACTATTTTGCCTCTTTTCCTTAGCATGCCTACTGAAGAGGAGAGGGCAAAGAGAAATCTGCGAGATGAAAGAGCAGCAGCCGTTAGGGGCACAGAAAATGTTTTACCTGGGACACCTGCCTCTGGAAAGCTACAAAATGAGCAAGATTGTATTAGTCACCATCTCATTATGTCTACTTTAAATAAATGAGTTGGTTTAGATCACTTTCAACCTGGCTGCACAATGTAATCATCCGAAGGCACTCTTTAAAATTGTCAGAGGATGGGCCTGACCCCAAACTAGTTAAACCAGAAAATGCCTGCAGTGGAACTCAAGCAGTGTTTTTTTTTTCCCTCCACTGAGTTCTCCAGGTGACTTTTATGGGCAGCCAAGGTTGTGAAATATAGGTCTAGATTTCCTAAAGAATAAAAATCCTTTAACAATTTTTGTACCATACTGCTTTAATTTTAAATAAAAATACATATGTCATTATTCAGATTGAATATAGCTTCATCTGTTTATCCCTTACTCTCTTTCCAATATAAATATCTCATCTCTAAACAGACCATGTAAAATAGTAGAGACTATGACTAAAATAGTCTCTAGTGATGTAAATTCTGCCTTGCTGCTCAAAGGACTTTCATGCTGCAACCAAATATTTGTATAGCTTGGCAATTACACATAGTATTTAGAAGTTTGTTTCTATTATCACCTCTTAAATTGAACAATAACTATGAGACATGCAATAACTTGTAGGTTAGAAAAATAATTTCTCAATTTAGTGAAACTTCCACAATAATGTTATACTTTCCTCCTAAACTTGAATGGAAATTATCTGGTTTTTGGTAGAAATAGATGCCATTTCCTATATGTAAATGCTACAGCTGACTTTTACAATATTTTTGCAAAGTTGCAAAATTCCACTGTTAGGATCCATTGCTGCTGAAAGGTGACAAACGGCCTCTTAACGACATTTAAAATGTGATGCACTGTTAAATAATGAAAATTAGATGTCTTGGTTCAACATTCAAAAATCAATTAACATAATCCATCAACTCAACAGGCTAAAGAAGAAAAATGAGAGGATTACATTAATAGATGCAGAAAAGCTGACAAAACCCAATACCTATTCATGATAAAAAGCCTTAGCAAACTAGAACTAAAGTGGAACTTCCTCAACTTGATAAAAACTATCTACAGAAGAACCTACAGTTAACATCATACTTAATAATGAGAAACTAGTAGAAGTTCTACCCCTAAGATCAAGAAAAAGATGACCCTTCTTACCACTCCTTTTCAAGATCATACTAGAAGTCCCAGCTAATGGGATAAAACAAGAAAAGGAAACAAAAGGAATACGGATTGGGAAGGAAAAGATATATCTGATTTTGTTTGTAGATAACATGATTGTTTACATAAAAAATTTGAAAGAACCAACAAATAAAAACTCCTGGAACTAGTAAATGATCATTGCAAGATTGCAGGATACAAGGTCAACGTGCAAAAGTCAATCACTTTCCTATATACCAACATGAACATATGTAATTTGAAATTAATAACACAATGCTATTTATATTAGCACACAAAAATGAAACACTTAGTTATATATACAACAAGATATGTATAAGATCTATATGAGGAAAACTAGAAATCTCTGGTGAAAAAAATCAAAGAACTAAATAAATGGAGAGATAGTCCATGTTTAGGGACAGGAAGATTCAATATTGTCAAGATGTCAGTTCTTCCCAACTTGATCTATAGGTTCAATGTTCAATGTCCCAATCAAAATACCAGCAAGTCATTTCGATATTGACAAACAGATTCTAAAATTTATGAGAGGAAAAAGACCCAGAATATACAACACAGTATTGAAGGAGATGAACAAATTCAGAGGACTAACACTATACAACTTCAAGAATTACTATACAACAATATTAATCAACACAATGTGCTATTAACAAAGTATGGAAAAACAGAATATGGAATCCATAAATACACCTACATAAATATCGTCAATTGATCTTTGACATAGGAGCAAATGCAAGTCAATTGAGAAAAGACCGGCTTTTCAACAAATGCTGCTTTAAAAACTGGTAATCCACATGCTCCAAAATGAATCTGGGCAGAGACCTTACACCATTCACAAAAATCAGCTCAAAATGAATGACAGACCTAATATAAAATGCAAACTCTAAAACTTCTATAACATAGAAGAAAGTATAGTTGATTTTAGGTATGGTGAAAACTTTTTAAGACATAATACCAAAGGCAGGATCCATGAAAGAAATAATTGTTAAGATGGACTTCATTAACATTAAAAAATTCTGGTCTCTAAAGACACTGCCAATAAAATGAGAAGACATGACACAGACTTGGAGAAAATATTTGTAAAGCACATGTTTAATAAAGTATTGTTATCTAAAATGTACAGAAGAACTCTTAGATCTTAAGAGTAAGAAAACAGACAACTCAATGAAAAAATGGGTCAAAGACCTTAACAGACACCTCATGAAAGAAGACAAAAATATATATAGCAAATAAGCATAAAAGATGCTCAAAATCACATGTCATTAGGGAATTGAAAATTAAAACAACAATGAAATACCTCTACACAATTATTAGAATAGCAAAAATCCAAAACACTGAAACACCAAATTCTGGCAAGGATGTTGAGAATAGGAACTCTCTTATTCATTGTGGTAGGAATGCAAAATGGTACAGCCAGTTTGGAAGACAGTTTAGTAGTTTCTTACAAAACTAAACAAATTCTTAGCATATTATCCAATAATTATGTTCCTTGGTATTTACCCAAATGAGTTAAAAAGTTATGTTCAAACAAGAATCCACATGTGGATATTTATATCAGTTTTATTCCTAATTGCCAAAACTTAGAAGCAACCAAGATGTCCTTCAATAAGTTGTATGTAAGTAAGTTGTGGTACATAAGAAAATGGGTTATTCTTCAATGCTAAAAAGAAATGTGCTATTAAGCCACAAAAAGACATGGTGGCACCTTTAAATGCATATTACTGAGTGAAAGAAGCCAATCTGAAAAGAGTATGTAATGTATGACTCCAGCTACGTGACATTCTGGGAAAACTATAGAAACAGTAAAAAGGTCAATGGTTGCCATGGGCTAAGAGGGAGAGAAGTATGAAAAGGCAGAGAACGGAGTATTTTTAGGGCAGTGAAAATATTTTGTATAACATTATAATGATGGACACATGTCATTATTCATATGTTCAAACCCACAGAATGCACACCACCAAGAGTGAACCCTAATGTCAACTGTGGATTTTGCGTGATAACAATGTGCCAGAGTATGTTTGTTGATTAAAACAAATGTACTACTACTCTGGTTTGAGGTATTGACAGTGGGAGAAGCTATGAGTTTATGGAAACAGAGGGTACATGGGAACTCTGTACTTCCTGATTAATTTTGCTGTGAACCAAAAACTGTTCTAAAAAATAAAGTCTATTTAAATAAAGTATATTTAAACTAACACTTAATGACTATTTTCATTTATATTAAGCATTTTCCCAAAGGCAGCTAGAACACCATGCTCCAGTTAGGTGAAAAAATACTTTCCAGACTAGATCTGGAGCCCTATAAATTCCTAATTTCCTATGTGGGTATAGTTCATAGTTGGTCATAATGATTTACAGGCTTGGTAGTTGAAGATGTCAAGACCAACAGTATTATCAGAAATCACTGTTCTCTACTATCTGCTCTCCAATCAGAAGGTAATCAGTTTTACAATTAGTTATATTAAATAATGCTCTCTAGTATCTCTCAATCCTTCATATAAGATGTATTTACCGGTTTGTCTGAAAATCCTAAATGGATCAAGTATAAATTTGAAAGTCAGATTGGAAGTAATCTAGTTTCTATATCTGAGCTTGGGAAAATGAGATCTAAGAAAGTAAGCGACATGTTTAAGGTCACACAGTGATTTAAGGTAAAAATAGAATCAAAATCTGACTTTCAGGACAGGATATTTTGCTGTGCCTGTCTTTAAATGATGCTCTCACCATCTGAAAATTGAAACCAGACATGCACACAGCATTCTAATCTATAGATGTTAAGGGAACTACTAGTAATAGCAAGATACTTGTTTTGTTTTTATCACATGTGGAACTTTACATCAAATTTTAATATTTTGAGAAAATATGTAATGCAAGGGCAGGCAACAGGGTGCCAATCAAACTTTTGTGACAAAAAGTTTATAAATGTAATCTTTTAAATGTTAGCTCAGTCTATAGTAATTTTTAGAGAGATCAATATTGGCTGCTTTTTCTTGTGAATACAAACGACTAAAAAGAGTATTTGCTGGAAAATTACATAGTTTTAAGCACTTTTCTTCTGAATACTAAATTTTCTGGCTTTAAAATGAACAGCATAATAGGCAAAGCTTAATAGGCAAAACCAAAGCTATTGGTTTTATCAAATTACCAACATTCATTATTAATAATATTAAGCAGTAAGAAAAATGTTACCTCTAGAGTTATCTTTAAAATCAGAAGAGCTGTTGCTCAGATGAAGATGTAAGAGGTCTATTTTTCCCTTGGTGAAAACTTGATGTTGATAGATGTCACTTTCATACAGAAAAGGACTCTCATAATGATGAAATGTGCAACTTTGATGTTTAGGGATGAGCAAAAGAATGCAGTTGAAAGAAATGATATGAAAAAGAAAAGAAAATGTCCCAGGTTATTAAAATAAATATAGTAAAACTTTAAGTGGACAAGATTTTCACATTAATTAAAATTTTGTTTTAAACTACTGCAGATACATTCACTTTAAACTACAAGTAACCAAATTGTTTTATGGATTTAAAAGAAATAGCCAATTAGACCAAATATGATATAACTGCAGAATTTCAATTGACAGTTTCTTTTTAAAATTATTCTGATTTGGTTCTGAGTGATCTTTCAAGTTTATTAAAATCTAATGAATCAAGGTATTATTAGTTATTATTACTTAAAATTTATTTATTCATCAAAAACTGTGTCAAAAATCCATATGTGGTATTTGTTTCAATTTTTAATGATGATTACTATATACAATCATAGTTACAATTTAAACAACATCCTCTATGAATGAAATAATATATTTAATAATACCTGATAATTATGTAAGTTCTTCATAGTGCTATTATAAAAATTCATGGATTATAGTGATATCAAAAAGATCCTCTTATATCACTTACTATCCTTTATGATTATTCTTAGAAAAAAGAAGCTCTATAGGCACCTGCAAACCCAAGGTGCAAAACTACTGCCAGAACAATCATCAATGACTTTCTCTACCTTCTCTAGAAACATACATGGACGTCAAAGAAAAGATTTGCAGTAAGATATGTAAAAGGGTCAAATTAGGGAGCAGAAATGCCATTCATTTCCTTAGCATTAGTGTAGTGTATGTAAACCTCTTATCTGCTGACCAGACAGTTATCTCCTGCCAAAAGCACATTTGCTGTTGGGTATCTGGGTCTATGTGTCCAAACGTGGGACTTTTCAGGTCTGAGGGCATCACTTAGGCCCACTGCTTCCAAAATGCTGACAGGGGCCTAAATTGATTGAACATATAAACAAAGAATCCATATAGGGGCTACTTAATAGGAATTTCATTCTGATGCTTACCAAATATAACACTTTGTAGTTGTAACACCTGAAATCCTAGCTAAAGTTCCAACAGCAAAGGGAGCTTGGAGTAATTTTTAACATTACTAACAAATACAACTAGATACTATTTTACATTTGGAAATGACAACATATAGAAAACATATAGAAAAAAGTTACAAAATAAGCCATGATACTTCATTTATTGAATTTATCACATGGTAAAATCTACCTAGGAAGTAATCTACAGTTTGGCAGCTCTTTTTATCTTTCAAGCTAATCAATAACATACCTGTTTTTATTTAGGGCTCATAACAAAATGAAATAAGAAAAATCCAAAGAGTATATTAGGAGAAAAGAAGAAAGCTCATGTGAAATATATCAGCCTTGATCAGACTTTTCAAATAATAATTCCACAATTCAGAAACCCCCATTAATCTAGATATCAAGTAAAAGTATAAATGCATCACTATAGACAATTTTCTAATTATTGAATGTTGACAAATATTAGCAATATTGTACACGAATTTAAACATGGCTTTGGTAAAATACACTTTAACACTAAAGTCACTTTTTTACATCATGAATTTCTCAGTTAAAGAGAGTTGACTTTTTGTGTCGATTTTTAAAAAGTATCAACATTAGAAAGATCTTACCTTTGTTGATCATCTGCATCCACATTAGCTAACTCAACTTTATAAGGCACAACATCTGGTTCTTCAAATTCCTCTTCAAAAGTCTTATTAAATACATGTTGTATAATATTAGCATGTTTATCAAACATGTTATACATTAACCAGCTAACTTGTGGGTAACATTTAGAGAATTTCTTCCTACAAATAATGTCATGAGCTCTCTAACTATATGCCATAGAACATGAGTTATAAAAGAAGTAAACAAATTCAACTGATATTTGTTGAGGATATTTGTATGTCAGCCAGTTTATCACTACAATCACACCCAAAACTAGTAATAACTTACGTTTTATTATGTAACTACTAAGTTCCAAGTAGATTGGTGACTAAGATGGTTTTATGCATCAACCATTTAATGACAAGCACACACCCACATATATTCCTGCATGTGTGTATTTATTTGTTCAATATCTTAACTTTTTCCAGAGGAATAACAGAAAGTATATCTAGGCAAACACACATACACACACCCTAAAAGAGAAAGTAGTATTTAAAGAGGCACTTTCTCCATTCTAGTTTTTTCCTGTGATAACCACAGTAAAAGAAATACCTATGATTAGTGGTATACTCACCTACTAGATGACAAAAAAGTCAGAAAGATACTGAGTTTTCACAACATAAGCCTTCAGGCCCTGGAGCTCTGACTCTGTCTCTAGTTCTAGCTTACTCTACTTGGTGTCTTCTAGAGGTCTGTATTAAATATATTATTATACTAAGTCCCTTAAATCTTAGTACCAATTTTCCCTTTAAATAGAAAATAGTCTACGGCCATACCACCCTGAATGTGCCCCATCTCGTCTAAATAGAAAATAATGCTAAATGACATTCAAGAAACTAAATGTATACAAATGTTTTAAGTAGGTACCATATATGTGATTAATCTGCTAAAAAATCTGAAAACATAAAGAAAGAAAACAAACACCGAGCTACATCTCTGTAAGTTCAAAAAGTGAAATGTCTTTTCATCTCCCAACCTACATGCTTCCAAAAAAATGCCACAATATCAATTCAGCTCACACATTTACTGTCTACCTTAAAACTAATACTTTTTTATTCCTGTAAGCATATTTAAATTCAAACACTTGCAAATTTCCATTAAACTTTGTTGAATTACAAAAGTAACCTTGATGAAAATATTATGTAAGTATATGAATTTCCTGTTTGTTAAGTAATATGAATGGTCATTAAGCACTTACATCATCCAGTTCGACTATTGTTAGAGATGGCTCAGGTCTTTCTATGTTTAATTCTTCTACTGGCAGAAAAAGAGCTGGGTGTTCTACTTTAGTCTCTTCAGCTAGGAAATAAGATTAGAAAATAATGTCATCAAAGAATATATCTTACCTGATCATTTCCTATCTTCAAATAACATAGCCAACAATAAAAGAATAAATTCTCCTATGCATCCACACAAATACATAAATACTGTCAATTTTACCAGTTCAAATGAAACACACTTTTTCTTAACATTCAATTTTTAAATGAAACTCTTTAAGGCAAAGTAAATCGAGAGAATGGGAGGAAGAGGGTACATGACTTTGGAGATAAAGGGAACATAGTTCAGTTTATAATAATAGAGTAAAAATTTTTAAAAAGCAGATGCTGATTAATACCTAGTATATACAATTTGAAATAATGAATTCTAAAATAGCTTATCAAAACTGAACTAACCATCAATATCTTCATCATTTTCATTCTGAGAACAATGTGCCTCACAAGTGGTTTGACATTGAGATATGAATGTATCTGGTAGCATATTTTGAAGTTGTTCCTGTGGAGTTCTACAAAACAAGAAAGAAGCAATTAAAACACTAAAACACATTTACTTGAAACGTTCCCAGAAAAGATCTTAATTTATTTCACATACAGTGAGCCTACAAAATTAATGATGAAACCATAATTGTAACTCTAATTCACAGAAGAAAATCATGCTTGTATAACAGAATCCTAATCTATTAAAATAATTTTATGAATCAAATTAGCATCACACAATATTTTTTACTGCATATCCTACTGTTTTTCATTTAGGATAGAAATCAAAGTTATGGAAGTTACTGTTCTCACAAAAGCCACACGGATTTCATGAAACATGCAATGCCGATTTAAAAAGCTAATTTATGAATGTGTTATATCTCACAGCCTTGGCATTATATTCATAAGTTACAAGGGACCTAAAGACAGTTTTTGAAAATTCTACCAAACCAGCAGGATGATAAAATAGGCTCCCACAATATGAGTATGAGGTATTTTGGCTGTGGCATCCGTCAACCAATTAATAATGAAGGCTGGAGTGGCCCATCTCATATGGAGGCCACAAAACACAAGAATTCTCAGAGGTCAGGAGTGTACATTTGGTCACAGACAATATTCCAAAACTATTGGGAAGACAGTCACCTTTTAAGAATGTAAGTAGCTACAGCCCTTCTAGACTATACAGGTGCATAGAGCCCCATGTAAAAGTCAGGGCCTTCTTAATGGTATTAGTAGATAACAACCCAAAGCTTACAATGTACCAGGCTTTGTTCTAAAAAATTTGGGGAACTAAATCTTAATAGGTATATTAAATAAGCGTTTGTATTATGTTAATTTTACAGAAGAGGAAGCAAGGTACAAAGTAAACCAACTTGTTCAAAGTCATTCAGGTAGTAAATGAAGAAGAGGAATTTAAACTCAAGGAGTCTGCCTCCCCAAGTCCATGTTCTCTACCATGATATATTGCCTATTGTAATTTGCAAAGGCATTAAAATTTTATAATCTGGAAATATACAACTATGTGCATTTTCCAAACATGCATAATGTATGTATAAGAACACACCAAAATATTTATATATTATTCAGTTTGTATCTTAACAAATTTGAGGAGCATAACATCTTACATCCAAAATTTAATCAAATTGTGGAAATATTGAAGAATAAAGGTGAAAGACAAATTGGCACCCACCCATGAGATTGACATGGATACACACTACTAAAAATTCAGTTCATAGATACCCATAAATGTATTATTATTCAGACATTCCTTCATTAAGTAAAAACTTATATAATTTTATGGGCAAAGCCCTAAACCAGAGACTATTTATAGGGTCTAGTTATTACAGAATTGGAGCTGAAGGAGCCCTATAGATCATTTATTCTAAACTCAATATTTTGCAGATGAGAAAAGAAGGGAGGATGGTACAACATTCGAAAATCCATCAATGTCATCCACTACATCAATAAGAAGGAGGACAAAAATCACATGATCATCACCACAGATGCTGAAAAAGCATTTGACAAAATTCAACATCCATTCATGATGAAAACTCTCAACAAAATGGGTATAGAGGGCAAGTACCTCAATATAATAAAGGCCATATATGACAAACCCACAGCCAACAACATACTTAACAGTGAAAAGCTGAAAGCTTTTCCTCTAAGATCAGGAACAAGACAAGGATGCTGACCTTCCCCACTTTTATTCAACATAGTACTGGAGGTTCTAGCCATGGCAATCAGACAACACAATGAAATAAAAGGAATACAGATTGATAAGAAAGAAGTCAAACTGTCACTGTTTGCAGATGACATGATATTGTACATAAAAAAAAACCCACCCTAAAGAATCCACTCCAAAACTACTAGAACTAATATCTGAATTCAGCAAAGTTGCAGGATACAAAATTAATACACAGAAATCTGTTGCATTCCTATAGACTAATGATGAACTAGCAGGAGAAATCAGGAAAACAATTTCATTCATAATTGCATCAAAAAGAATAAAATACCTAGGAATAAACCTAACCAAGGAAGTGAAAGATCTATACCCTGAAAACTATAAGACATTCTTGAGAAAAATTAAAGAGGACACTAATAAATGGAAATTCATCCCATGCTCATGGATAAGAAGAATTAATATTGTCAAAATGGCCATCCTGCCTAAAGCAATCTACAGATTCAATGCAATCCCTATCAAAATACCAACAGCATTCTTTAACAAACTGGAATAAATAGTTCTAAAATTCATATGGAACCACAAAGGGCCTGAATAGCCAAAGCAATTCTGAGAAGGAAGAGTAAAGCAGGGGATATTATGCTCCCCAACTTCTAGCTCTATTACAAAGCCACAGCAAACAAGACTATTTGGAACTGGCACAAGAACAGACCCAAAGATCAATAGAACAAAATAGAGAGCCCAGATATAAACCCACACATATATGGCTAATTAATATATGATAAAAGAGCCATGGACATACAATGGGGAAATGACAGCCTCTTCAACAGCTGGTGTTGGTAAAACTGGACAACTACATGTAAGAATGAAACTGAATTCTGTCTAACTCCATACACAAAAGTAAACTTGAAATGGATCAAAGACCTGAATGTAAGTCATGAAACCATAAAACTCTTAGAGGAAAACATAGGCAAAACTCTCTTGAATATAAACATGAGCAACTTTTTCATGAACATATCTCCTCGGGTGAGGGAAACAAAAGCAAAAATGAACAAATGGACTACAACAAACTAAAAATCTTCTGTACAGCAAAGGATACCATCAGTAGAACAAAAAGTCATCCTACAGTATGTGAGAATATATTCATAAATGACATATCCGATAAGGGGTTAATATCCAAAATACACAAAGAGCTCACATACCTCAACAACCAAAAAGCAAATAACCTGATTAAAAAATGGACAGATGATGTGAACAGGCACTTCTCCAAAGAAATTCAGATGGCCAGCAGGCACATGAAAAGATGCTCCACATCGCTAATCATCAGAGAAATGCAAATTAAAACCACAATGAGATATCACCTTACACCAGTTAGGATGGCCAACATCCAAAAGAGAACAACATCCAAAAGAGAAACAACAAATGCTAGAGAGGATGTGAAGAAAGGGGAACCCTCCTATACTGCTGGTGGGAATGTAAATTAGTTCAACCATTGTGGAAAGCAGCATGGAGTTTCCTCAAAAAGCTCAAAATAGAGATACCATTTGTCCCAGGAATTCCACTCCCAGGAATTTACCCAAAGAAAACAGGATCCCAGATTCAAAAAGACACATGCACCCCTGTGTTTATCACAGTACTATTTACAATAGCCAAGAAATGGAAGCAGCCCAAGTGTCCATTGGTAAATGAATGGATAAAGAAGATATGGTACATATACACAATAGAATATTATTCAGCCATAATTAAAAACAAATCCTACCATTTACAACAACATGGATGGAGCTAGAGGGTATTATGGTCAGCGAAATAAGCCAGGGGGAAAAAGACAAGTAGCAAATGATTTCACTCATCTGTGGAGTGTAACAACAAAGCAAAAAGGAACAAAACAGCAGCATACCCACAGAACCCAAGAATGCACTAACAGTTACCATGGGAAAAGGAACTGGGGAGAGTGGGTGGGAAGGGAAGGATAAAAGGACTAAGGGGCATTATGATTAGCACACATAATATAGGGGGGGCACAGGGAAGGAAGTATAGCATAAGAAGACAAGTAGTGATTCTATAGTGCCTTACTATGCTGATGGACAGTGACTGTAATGGGGTATATGGTGCGGACTTGATAATAGGGGGAATGTAGTAACCACAATGTTGCTTATATGAAATCTGCACCTAAGATTGCATATCAATGATACCTTAATAAACAAGTAAAGAAGGAGAAAGAAAAAGAAAAGATGGGCCAAGAGAATTTAAGTGATTTATTTGCCCATGAACAAACAAGTAATTAGTCTAAGTACTAAGTCTGCACTCTGGATATTGGGATTCTAGCACCAATGCTTTACTAAAAGATCATGACACATAAATAAAGGATGGACTCTCTTAGAATACGATTTCACCAGATGCGCCTCAAAATTTAAACAAATATTTATTGATCACTGAACAATTCATTTGGGGAAGCAAGATACGTGGTTCTAAATTTATTCTTTGAATCACTGTGAGGCTGTTTGCATCAGAATCACTAAGGATGATTTTTAAATGCAAAGTCTCAAAGCCATCCTTAAAAAGCACTGATTTTTAGATCTTTCTGGAGTTGGGTCCATGAATAAGTTTTTTAAGAACTTGTCCCAGGTGCTTTTGATAATCAGCTAGAACTGAGAATTACATGAAATGAAAAAGTAGGGGAACTGAAGTCAATATCAGCTAACTGTTAATATCCACCTTTAAAATACTCTAAATCCTACCATTTAAATGATCCACTGGAGCTATTAAGATAGCTATTAATATCTATCAACACTTATGTATTGGTTGTAGGTAAAAATGCAAAAAATGTTACTATCTAAATCAGAAAAGAAATACAAAAATAAATGCAATTTAATGCATATTTATAAGATTATTATAAAACATGACAATTACAGGCAAACATAAAGTATAAACCATGATCATGGCTGTCAACTTGGGAAACTTTTTGCCACACAGATTCAAAAATACACCACAAACTTCTGAACTGAAAATGGATTGCCCTATCCTAGCAGCCATAATTAAGACACAAAACATTAATGCAAAAAATTATTACTCTTAAAAATTATGTTGAAATGAATAGTGAATATGTTCACTAACCATTCCTCCTTAAAAAGGAAATTTACCAACATGCAGTATTCAGCATAACTCAGGATCTCATGTTCTCATTTATTAAAGCTTCTTGTATGTGTCAAAGCACATATGATGGTGGCCATTTAATAAGAAAACTGTGCTTCTTTTACTGCATAAGAAACTGTGAAAAGCAGCCACCAAAAAAAGATATGTGACTTTGGAATTACTTTGATATATTAATTCCTAAACTAGAATGAGACAGTT